TATATATATATATATATATATATATATATATATATATATATATATATATATATATATATATAAAATTGGTAATATATCAATGGAGTTAACTATGCAGCATGGGGATCACCACATTTTTTGCCCTTTTTCCACAGCAAATCTGCCCCTGATACTGTATGGCAACCAGACCCACCATAGTGTTTGTCTATCCTGCAAGGAAATAAAACAAAAACAAACAAAAAAAATATGATTTTTCTCCCTAGGTCAGATTATCGAGTCGAACTGAAGAATTTTGAACTTTGCAACAATCTGGTGTAATGACGCCCGACACAGTTTGTCAGCAGCAAGAAAGTTTGCAACATGAAGCCAAACGTTTCTCCCTGTTGGTTCTGACTCTCGTGCGGTGGATTAAGGTTAGGGGTCGTCTGTTAAACGGTCATTCATCCTCTTTGATTGAGAGGGTCCTCAGATGAGGTATAATGCATTTTCAAGGGCAGTGATGACAATAATTGGCTACTTTTGCTTCACTGAAATGGACAACATTCTAAAAAAAAAAAAAAGAGAGAGAGAGTCTCTTCAAAGATTGTGATCCACCAGTTTGGGTCTGAATGAAAGGTGTCTGCAGGCGACAAATTAATAACTATAATATTATGAGGTTGGATATGGATCTCCTTAGTGTCCTGATCACCAACTCTTGTCCAAACTTACTTTTTACTGTTTGGGAATGAAACTTAAGTCATAATGATGTGGTCCCAGATTTCACTGCAAGACGAAAACTACTTGAGTCTGAATACCTTAAAGGAAGCTAACTCTTTTAATATCACCACTTCATTGTGGGAGTTACCATACAATTTTGCCGTCTTTTTTTTTTTCTTTTTTGTCATGTCAGTTTTGTTTTTTGTGCTTTAGGGTGTAATTAAAATAAGAGAATCCTGTAAGTCAGCACCAACTGGAACTGAATTCCTGAGTATATTAAACCCGCCAGCATCAGGACTGAAATATAAACTACAATATATGATTTTTTTTTTTCTTTTACACAAAATTACAGAATTTTATCTCAAACTTTTTGACTTAAAGGGATATTTTTTGTGGGAACAGATCATTTGTGATGTCTGTTTCTCTCGGTCTAACGTGGTTATTCTCCACAGGGAGATGCATTAAATGGCCTTGACAAAAAAACTGAATTTCTTTGAGCTCGAGAGCACATCTTAGTCTGATCTCAGCCTTGGCTTACAGGTGGGAGTGCCTCAAGGTGCAGCAGAAGCAGCAGCAGCAGTACACAAAGGTGCAACTTGCGTATCACCTGACCAACCCCTGCCACGCACAAACTCGTGAGAACCTCAGCAGCGTCTGAGAACGAGGCAGCCTCCCTTTTTCCACTCGGCGTTTCACCAGGTGCGACTCCTTTTCTCTTCACTTTCTTTCCACTTCGCTTCACACTGAGCTCTTAAATTTCAGGCTCTTCCACTTTTTTTGCGGGGTAGCGTTGTAGCTATTGTGTGTGTGTGTGTGTGTTTGTGTGTGTGCGCAGCATTTCCTCCGGTGAGGACATTGGTTGTGT